GCTCCCCCTCCTGCTCCCCGTCCTGCTCCCCCTCCTGCTCCCCCTCCGACGCCCAGCCAGCAGTTTTCCTGTTAATATGCAAAACGTGTCCTTTCTCTCCCTGACTTTAAGGCCCCCGTGTCATCAGCAGTGCTCGCTAATTGCAGTCGACACTGTTGATAGAATGAATTCAATGCCAGGCTCCCCTAACATCTGGGTTTGCTTGCCTGTCAGTAGGAACACTAACAGCTCGAGTTTGCTGAATTCTTTTACATTTTCTTGGCCCGGGACCGATACCCAAGTACGTGCAGCTGGCCAGCTGTTCGGGCCCGGTGTAACCACCGCTTTACGGGAGCAACAGGTTGGTTTTAACATTAATTCCTGGCTGTGAGACCCTCAGCTGCTCGGACGTCCCCGGGCCGCCCGCCAGGCGGTGGCAGCTGAGGCGCCCTGCAGCGCAGCCCGTCACCGCCTCATCGCCGCCGAGCTGGGCGCAAAGTCAGAAGCAGGACGGGGCTGCGGGGCCGGCGGAACACCCTGCCCTGCCCTGCTTCCCGCAACGCCCACCCGCAGGCTTCTTCCCTCTGCTCGGTGTCCAGCCCTTGCCAGCAGCACCACCTTTCAGCCGCGGTGAAGCTGGGGTAGGGCTCCCACACGGGTGTGTAGTCAGAGGACAAGGGGCAATGGTTTGATGCTTAGATGGGAGACTCGGGTGGGATTTTATAAAAGAGGGTGGGGAGAGCCTGGCCCAGGGAAGCTGTGGCTGCCCCATCCCTGGGGGTGTTGAAGGGCAGGTTGGATGGGGCTTGGAGCAGCCTGGGCTGTGGGAGGTGTCCCTGCCCATGGCAGGGGGTTCATCTAAATGATCTTTAAGGTCCCTACCAACCCAAACCATTCTATGATTCTGTGATTCCTGAAAGGTATTTCTTGGCACCCTATGCAGTTTAAAAATGAGCACACGAGTATTTTGCTCAGCTCAGCAGTCTGACAACTCCAGAGGCAAAGGCCACTTCCCACCACGCACGGCCTATGAGATATTGCTGGAAGTATTACATTGACACGAGCTCTAAAGTAAAAACCTTGCCTTATTATTAATTATTCTGTAAGAGCAGCAGAATTTTTGGCCCTGCACAAAGGACAAGGCAAATACAGGTTGTACTGGTGGGTGCTCACACCTCCAGGCTCCTGCTGTCATTTCTCCAAGTGTAAGATTAGTCTTAAGTCTAATTCACAGGAGACGTGTCACTCACACAACAGAGCTCACATCTGGTCCCTCCAACAAAACCAAACCAACCCTGACCAACAGAAAAGGGAAACAACCTGACAGGATCCAAGGGGAAAAAAACCCAAGTTTTGCTATTCCCCAGTCTGGCAGCAGTTGAGACACAGCAGGAAGGAAAGATGACACTGATCCTTGGCCATGCAGCAGGGCTGTGCTAAGGGAGAAGCCACCAAGCCCCAGGACCATCCCTGCCAGGGGACATGGGGCAGAGCACAGGCAGCCCCCCCAGACACCTTGTGCTGAGCAGCTGCCAACACCATCTTTTTGCCAGTTGCTTGGAAACCAAACAGAACTCTCACACACCGGAGGCAGGAAAGCTGCTTCCTGCTTACAGGAATGCTGCTTCCTGCTTTGAATATTTACAGTGAGAATAAATTTTTTTGGCATTGGCAAATAAGTCAGGCTGATGTTCCAGAATAACAATATGCAAAATGTTTGATATTTCCAACCCTTGAGAAGGCAACAGACCGACAGCCTCCCAGCCAAAGGGAAACAGCCAAAGCCACACCAAGACTGACTGGACACATTTCAGGGCCGGCGCTTCCCTGCGTGTGCTGCCTTCAGCTCTTTGCAGATGCCAACGGAAACAAGAACAGGGGAGAACATTCCCCACAGGGAGACAACAGACCCCACACCAGCAAACACCTCTTGATTTTAAAGGTAAAGCTGGGAAAAGGACGTTGGTTGAGTAATGGAGCAGAACACTGAAGTGATCCCATGAGTGTGGGGCAGCGAGCGGAGGAGGCCCCAACAGCTGGAGATGCTGGAGACCTGCAGCCCTGTGGAGCTGGGGCAGAGGATGCCCCAGCTGGAGCCAGCCCAGGGGAGCTGCAGGCAACCAGGCACAGGGGACAGAAGGGTTCCACGGTGGGTGCTGCAAGCCAGGAAGCAGGACAAGTGGCCTGCAAGACATGAGGCTTCACACCACAATGGCCTGACCCCAAAAGCTGTTCCTCACAGAGAAGCATGAAGCCATCCATTGTCCTTCACATCCATCAACGTGGGCAGAAGTGCTTCAGCATTGGGTAAGGACAGGTGGGAAGCACCCAGAGCAGCTGAGGCTTGGGTTGTCCTCACTCAAATTCACTGCTTCGAGTACAGACAGGACATGACAAAGAATGGACACCAGCACATGGGGTAAGGACAGGCAGCACAAGGGGAAGGTCTTGGAGCCACAGCATAAGCCTGAGCTCATTGCAGTCACATAACTGTCACCTGCTGCAGCATCACAGAGAATGACACTTTCCTCCCAACAGCACGGGATGGGCATCCCTTCCATTTCCATCGTGCTTTACAAACTAATCAAACTGCTGCACCACACAAAGTGCCAAGATGTCACCATTACACGCATCGGTACCTCCGGAGGCTTAGGTAAGCTACCATGGTCTGTCTTCAGAGCAAATAAAAGCTATTAATAAAAGAAGTCTCAGCACCAGGTCATGCAATTATGAGCTTTAGCATCTTGTCAGGTCCTCAGACATCAAACAACATAATTGTTTGGGGTTAACGCAGAGCGAGCTTCTAGTAACTGGCTTAGCAGAGCACATTTACATAATGAACAAAGGCTTTGAATTCTAATAATTTGGTATCATTTCTCAAAAAAACCCCACTTAACTAGTAGTCACTCATGCTTTGAGATCCTCCTGGCTGTCCTGGTGCCTGAACTCCACTGGTGGGACCCCATGCCTGCACAAGCAGCTGGTGGGGCACGATCTCTGTAAGCCAGAAGCAATTAAACCACAATTGCTCAGCATGTTCCCACCATCACTCACCGTGTGCTGATTCTGTACATTTCACTTGTACTTCTGTGCTGCTGCATGAAGTTCAATTATTCTCTTACATCTGTTTCACTCACTAAAAAGAACAACCCCACCATCACACACATACCTGTGGAGATTTTCCTGTCATGCTGAAGTTTTGCAGCAGGTCACACATGTTATGAGCTCTGGCTTAGCTTCAGCCATCGGTTTCACAGGGATCAAGGCTAGGTCTGCTGTGATGACTGACATGGCAGTGGCCTCCTCCTTCAAGCCACAGTTTGAGCAGGATGATGTGGTAGTTGGGAGCACTGAGCTGGACAAGTACCTCATGGAGGAGCTACTTGCCTGCAGTAAGGAGATTCCTGATTTATCAGCCATACCATGTGCACCTACGACTTCTACAAAGGCAAAATGATCTTTGACTGCCCTTCATCCTGCCCAGCACAACCCATGTCTTTATAATCTTATGTAGGCAAAACTATCCCAGCTACCAAAGCCTAAGAAGGGATGCAGGAGCAGCCCCACCTGATATGTTAGAGCTAGGCAGCTCAGAGCAGGGTGCTCCTTCAGAACACATGGTACTTTGCTAATTGGTCTCTTGTGCATCTGGCAGTTAATTTTTTTAACATCACCTGCAAGGGCAACACTCCTGCAGCTGGTGGTGGATCAAGAGTGGAGATCCACCCAGCATTGGTAGCTCCCTGGGACAATGCTGATGCCCAGGGGACTCTGCTGCCCCTGGTCCAGCTGTCGCACGGGAGCCACGTGCAGTTGCAGACCCTCCCAAAGCAGGAGGCCAGGAGCTGCTTCCTGGCAAAGGGAACAGCCCCAGGGCCACAAGCCTGTCAGGAGCCCAGCAGATGGGCTACACTGTTGTTTCCTACAAGATTGTAACTTCAGAACTACCAAACACTACAAAATGTCAGGAAGTGGGTGATATTTACATAAACAAACTTTGGCTCCTCTGGAAGCGTTTCCTTTGCAAAATTAAATGCTGGTTATAGAGTAGATGAAATGTAATAAATTAAGAATTAATAATCTGAGGACTATTTATAAATGTTTGGATCTGCTTGCAAATGCAGCCATCTGTGTATTGCTCAAGGCCATGTTTTATTTAAACAAAAAGCTATTTGAGAAGATAACAGCAGGAACAGCAACACAACAAAGCGCCCTGCTCAGGGTAGCACACCACAGGTATCCATCTTGCTTGCATCTAGGACTTTACAGACTGTGAGACAAGTCGCTGCTCTGGGCACAGGTCTGCTCTGCAGAGCCAGGTGAGCTGCAGGACAGCCAAAGCCAGCAGCAGAGTTACAGCAGAGGGCTGGGATGGGTGCCCATGCCTGGACAGACCAAGCACAGCATCAGGTCCTGCCTGCGTGATGCTCGGGGGCTGTGGTGAGAGCCCAGTGCCCAGACCCAGCTCCCCAGCCAGCACCAGTGCCACCCAAGCTGGGAATGCTGCCCACAAGCAGCTCCAGCTGCCTGACATCCATGGCAGCCCTTCAGGAAAATTAAACCTAAATTAAGGGAGCTTTCCTCTCCCCATTTTTCCCATTCTGCTCAGCTTGCTATGTCTCTTCCACAGTGATTTGGTACTTTTTGGATTTAACCTGGCAGAGCTTCACAGCTGATGTACACCATGGACCCCAGAGGAGCTGTGGTGACTTGCCCTGCAGCGTGTAACTACCCCTGTACCCAGCACCTCAGGGCTTGCTCATCCTCCTGACAAATGTTAAAACCTGTGTAATCTTCCCCTCTTTACAGAGATATAGTGCATTGGCTTTAAACACTGAGGTTAACATGAGTCAAGCATTCAAAGGAAAACTTGTTTGGCTCCAGACAATGTGCAGGCACTGCTGGGCTTTCCCTGTGAACCTACAGCCTGTGACTGTACACCCACAAGGGCCACTTCTCTGCTTCCTTCCAAGGTCAGGGGAGAGCAGATGGAGCAGTGTGCTCTTTCTCCAGAGAAAAGAAGTTGCAGTATTTGAAAAGAGCTTATGATGCTGGTGTAAGGAACATGGAGATAGAGTTGACAGCTCTGGCTGCCCTGTGCACAATCCTGAAGCTGGTTTCACCAACCTGCATGTTTTCCATGCCCCACTGTTACACAAAAATCCCTCTGAAAATCCCACTCTGGCCTCACCATGTCAGTAACAAGCCCTGAGCCATGGCTGCAGCAAGCTGGCACAGACTCACCAGTGTAGGTGGACTTCTGCTCAGTCTGTTCCCTGAAAAACAACAGATGTGAAGACAATGACAAGACACTGCCCAAAAATTACTGCCCTTTCTTTCAGAAACAAGTGTCTGCTTCTTTTAAACTTTTTTTTCATAAATATCTTGGTATTTATAAAAGATGACATCTATAATCTGAAAAGATTCTGCACCACTGAATTTCTCTTGTACGTCTGCTTTTAAAGGCGGGGGGGGAAGAAATCCATTAACTGCCTTAAGTTTGGGATCTTCCACTTCTGGGAAGCAGTCTCACAGCCATCTGGTCTCCAAAAGACGGGGGAAGCAATGCTGGTCTCCCCTGCAGGAACATGCAACAAGTTGTGAAGCTGGCCAAGTATGTTTTAAAAATACTGAGTTGCCCCAAATGAGGTTCCAAAATAAAATGCACAAACACACACAGAACTGTAATTCCAGCAGGAGCATGCCAAAGCTCACTCCAGAAGTCGTGCAGCTCCCACGGCTCTTGGGCAGCCTCTGTGGCATTTCTCCCTCAAAATAACTTGCTTCAATACCCAGATGGTGCTGCTCCTTTGCTTGCTCTCAGGGCTCTGTCACAGCAGCCCTTCCCCTGCCTCTCTGGGTCCCTTCTTAGAGCCTCCATCTGCTTCTGACTTTGCAACCTTGAGCACCCCAGCCAGAGCCAACCTCCCTCCCCAGGAGCCCAAGACCCCTTGAGCTCAGGTTTACCCTGCAGGACTTGCCCTTGTTCCTGCCTGTTCTGTCTCTTGGTTCCACAGGGAGCAATTCCTGTCTGTTTCACAAGGCACTGTATGTGAGCCACTAGGCATTACCAATATTACATTCATGGAGCTCCTATCATCAGCTATATACTCAACTGTGGCATCTAGATTTTTCTGATGTTCATCCTCCTCAGACATTTTTGGTTAACTGCTAATTGTAATTTGCTTACATACATTTTATATCCATCTTATGTAACATCCATCTTATGTAACATAATCAGTTAAAAAATAAATTACATCAATTTCCCTTCCATTTAATAGAATCTTATTCAGGAGTTTCAGCTCCAAAATAAAGATCCCAGACCTGAAATGTTCTTTCTAATCTATAATTTATACTGAAAGACTAATCTGCAATACAAAATTGCATGACTGGTTTGCAGCAAATATGATGCAGCAAATTGGTTTCTAAATACAGGCAAAGGTTAAGTTTCTTCTTATAATAATCAATGAATAATATAAACATTAATTATCATCAAGATATTATAAAGAAAATAATCAAATTCTCAAGAAACCCAGAATGAAAGCTGTGGGATTTATGAATGTAGCATAATATACCCAAAGTGACCATTCTGCAAAGCTGTTTGGGATTCATGCCTGCAGTTAAAACCAGGGCTCCTGCCCAGGCTGCCACATATCAGACTGGCCTGCAATGTCTGCAGGAGCCCTCCATGCACAGGTGTCCTGTCTCCCTGTAGGAAGGGACATGAGAAATCACACCACAACAGTCAAAACCCACCAGAGCTCCACAAAACCTTCACCAGGGCAGGTGTGAAATGGTTCAGCACCACATGAGAAAGACAGGTTGGTTTTTTGAATGACTGCACAGACTGAGAACCAAATAGTTCAAAGACACAACCTAAGGGAAATTTATTTAAAGTTCTCATTCCAGGCCTGACAACACCCCAGAAGCTTCTCCACTCCTGATACAAGAGCGCCCTACATTTTAAAACCTGTAGATTCCATATCTCTTCTTGGAAGCTTCAGTGGAGGGATCTTTGGTAAAACCTCTTTTGCATAAAGTGATTCAAGAAGTCCAGCTTCTCGAAGAGCTAGCTCAACACGAAGTCGAGGGTCAGAAATGATCTGTTAATATAAACCACAGCAATAGTAATTAGAAACAAATCAATACTTTCCTCATGTCCACAGTGTGTCTTCCAGGTTATCTGTAGATGCATATATTTTAGAAGTTTTAAAAGATAGTAAAAAAATAGTGTTCATAAAATAAAGCCTTCAGAAGCAGAGAAACTCTACACTGAACAAGCCTTACACTGCACATATCTTGATATTATCCTTTTTAATACTAATGATCACAAACTATTTCCACCAAGAGTCCTGCTTGTCATTCCTCAGCAAAACTGCAAGGGTAGATGAGAAACTGAGTGACTTAATTCAGCCTACTCACTGAAGAGTTGCTGACTTCTCTAATGTTCCCCATCAATACAGCCCTGCTGTCAGCACAAGACTCCTAATCCCTTCCTGCTTGTTTCTATGGAATCCGAGTGCTTCAAAAGCTTTTAGGATTCTTCTCATAGCTTTGCCTTGTGACTACATGGCAATATTTTACATAACAACAATTAATGTCCAGGGAAATTACTTCTGTGGTTTGTCAAAAGGTTACTTCACAAAATTTGCAGCCTCTCTCAAGTCCTTCTTCCATGGGCTAAATTGGGGGAGCACTGAGAGCACAAGGGAGTGTCACATCCCCTTCAGTTCTAGCCCTGCTGGGATGAGCAGCCCTGGGGAGCATCAGCCACAAGCCCTGCAGCTCTGGGCTGGAGCACAAACATGCTTGACAGGAACCACGGGTTGCAGCCTGTGCTTTCCAAATCCTGCCTGGGGTTGAAACAGGAAGAATAATCTGAGAATTCCAGTACCAATCCCAAATACATTTGTCCAGAGCATTTTCAAGCTTTGGCTTTTCAGAACATCACATATTAATCAGATTTGGGAAAACATTAATAGCCAGATCTCATGTACCACATCTCTCCTTTACCAAACTGAGAAGCTTTAAAACGTCTTAAAATGGGAATTGCTGGACAAGTTTAGTTATAGACATCATTACATTTCAGCTTATTCAGTGCTAAAAGAAAGCTTTTATGCCACAGAATTATATCATAGCCTTTCTCTTTCTCTAGACATAATTTTCAAATTCCAGAGTGGGAATAATTTCAAATGCATAGACTGAGCAGATGGGGAACAGTAAGGGAATTAAAAAAAAAAAAAAGTTGCGGAGATCCATTTGAAATTGAGCTAACAGTGGCCTCAGCAACCTGAGCCACTGAAAACAGGAGCAGTTACTTCCATTTCCTGGTTCATTTACACCTCACTTCTCCTTTAGACCTTGCATTTCACATCCCAACAGATCTCAATTCCAGAAACAGTGTAAACACAGCCAAGATACTAAGTTTCATCTTAAGGCATTTCTGCTGTGCAAAGTCTTCCAAGAAAAGAGAATACCTCACAATTACAAACCCTTTTTGTGTACAGTCACTTCAAATACCTAGTACACCACTAACTGGAGAAGGTGAAAAGGAGGCCCTCTTCTAATTAGATGTATAAAACATGTAAAAGGGCTGAGGTTTGAAATGAGAAAATAGCAAGCAGGTCAGCCAAAGCAAACACAGGAACTGCCCAAGGCTCCATTTAGCCCAGTGTCATTGCTCCAGCAGTGGGCACAGGAGATGCTCAGGAGCCCTGAACTGGATCTGAAGGGATCTCTGTGGTCCACTCTTGTGCTCCTCCAGCAACTACACTGGGTCAGAGAGATGACTCCACCCATTTCTCCCAGTGTTTTTATTTTTACACAAATTACACTCTGCATTCAACTGTTCATGTTGCTATTCAGGACACAGCATTAATATTCCTATCATGTTTCATTAAGAGATACGTGCAGACAATAAACTCTGTAGTGTGATTACAGACAATTACCTGCTGTTCATTGTATGTGTGCAACTTAAACAGTGGCTTCTGAAGATCAAAATCTTCTTTGGCTCCAACACCCATCCGAGCTTTAGATGCCACCGTATCAGCCACTACTCGAGCGGGATCGGACTTTGCAACCACAGCAACCTGAAATACAGGGTGTGACAGGAACCACTTATCTAAGACCTAAGATGAGAAAGAGTCATCACCAATAACAAATCCTTTGACAACGTGATCATTTACTTGGTGTGAAAATTTCCAAAGTTGTCTTAAACCACCTTGTATCCATACAAAATAAGTTCTAATGCTTAAAACTTGATGCAGAGTAAAACCGCTTTGACAGAGAACAGTCACTGGGGAGATTATTTCCTGTTTCCCAATGGAGACAATTTAATTGGCTAGACCTGATGCAGGACTGTGCATGCCCAGAAATGCTGTGGAGAACTGCCTGCTATGTGGGCAGGGACATTTTTCACAAAGAGAAAATCAGCCATTGGAATCATCTCCCCAGAGACGTGGTGGATTCCCCAGCGCTGGACGGGGTGCTGGGCCCTCTTGTCTAGACCACATTTTTGCCAAGAAAGGTTGCACCAGGTGTTCCTTGAGGTCCCTTCCAACCTGGTATTCTGTGATTCTAATAAAAATGCACTGATGACCTAAAGTAAACAATGTTAATACTGCAAAATATTTGATCAAATCAGATTATTAAAATAGAGCATTATTGACTAGAAAAGAGCCTGAGTCTAATAGTTTAAAAAGTGACTGAAATGACAAATAATCCCTTAGGTTTCTTCATCCTTATTATGCTCAGCTCTCCCACAGGAGATGGCTTTGAGCACCTGGCCTATATTATACTTCTTTCTTCTTGACTTTGTAGACCCAGATGCTGAAGTGAAATCACTGAGAAGGCCACAAACAGTCCATGAGGGACTAGGGAAGAATTCCTTAGATGAGTAATCCTGAAGCCAAAGGACACACTGAAAGTGAGGTCAAGGCTGCATCAAATACCATATTTTTAACCATGGGCAGTCCTAGGGAGAAAGCTGCTGCATTAGTGCTGTTTAAGTTATCCAAAATCCAAGAGCTTTGAAGAGCACCTTTTTTTCTCTCCTTTATTTTCCTTTGGCTGCACATTTAGGCTTTAGTTCCTGAAGTGTAAAGAATGTGAATTCCAGATTTTTCCTTTCAAACTTTGGAGGAAAACCAAGGAGATCAGATTTAAAAAAATATAAATTAAGGGAAAATTACTCCTTCAAAAGTCATGAGTAGAAAAAAAGAACCACACTACATTTACTATGACAAATATAAGCAAGCATTTTTCCGGCATGTTCTTTACAAAATAACGTGCAAAGGTTCTACAGAGAGTTAAATCTTGCTCTGAAGAAAGGTTGTCCAAGGTTTTAAGTTTTCAGAATTTAAACTGAGGCAGACTTATGATGATCAGAAAAAAAATATTAAAAAACCAACCAAACAAACAAACAAAGGGGAGATCACATCCAACCCAGAAAAGAATATTATCTACCTGTGTTCAGATATCAACAGCTTCCACAGTGCAATGTTCAAGCACACCAGATTTATGACATGGCAAAATTACTGTTAAACTCACGCCAAAAGTGCATGTTAACATCTTCAGTTATTTGCTCTTGATAGATTGTTCTTTCAGTCCTTCCCCTAATGTGACAGTGTGTTTGCATCATTAGTGCTTATGAGAGCAGTGCAGACAGAAGAGGAGCCACCTGCTGTCGGAGGGCTTCAAGGCATTTCTCCTTCTCCTCTTCCTCACGGGCTGCTCGAAGGGCCTGTTCCTTTTTCTCCAGCAACCGTTTTTCTAGTACTGCTTGTCTGAACTTCACCCTGCAAGACAGCACAGGTACAAATGGGAAAAACATCTCTCGAGCCTCATTTAAAATTTGTTATGAAAGTTCAGTTTGAAAACCAGTCTGATGTTTTCTACACCCACCTAATAACAGTATGGTGGTTCATCAAAACACCTGAAAAGGGCAAAAAGTGCTTTTCCATTTGAATGTGTTACTTTTGTTGGAGTTTTTTGGTTTGGGGTTTTTGGGGAAGCAGGGCTTGGGGAGTTGCATTTTTTTAATTTGTTTTGGGGTTTTGTTTGTTTTAAACAACTTGACTAACTTTTTAGATTCCATTTCTGCAAGGCAGATTTTCCCTAGCATGCTTTATATAGCCTGTTGCTCTTTTTTCATCCCCATTTTCTTTGCCAAGAAGAAATGTTCTCTGACATCTGTATATAGCAGAACAACTGTTTCCTATAACCTCTTCCATAAAAAGAAACACATCACTCCCCAGCCTGTTCCTTGAAGTAAGAAAACTTGATAATTACATCCCTCTTCAAAAGGAAAAAAACCTGGAGATTAACACCAATAATCCTGGAACTTTCCCTACTTTATTCTTCCTGGTCAGCTTTTCACACCAGGCTTTTGCAGCCCCAGCAGCATTACCAGCACCTAATTTCCTAACAACCCCCCATCCACTGCCAAGCTCCACTTCTCATGAAGCTGTAAGGTAGTCTTTGGGGTGTCACTTCTAGTCCTTATACAGGATTTACCATTGCAATGCTTTGAATTCAGAGAATTACCCTAATTTGCCCTTCAAATTTTAACCTGCCTTCAGAAAAATGGAGCAGAAAAAGCTGCTTCCACTGCAATAAAACATGTATTTTCATTTTCTTACTCTCAAAATTTTAGTAAGCTCAAAGGAGTACATAACTTGTGCTAGAAACTGCAAGAATCAGAAGTAAATGTACAGTTATGTTGGTAGTTAGAAAAGACCACTGCATCAATAATCCAATAACAATTACCAGTGCAAACAAATTTGTCCCAGGAGAGTGGTACGAAGCTGCCTGAGGGTGCCCCAGAGAGGATTTGTTTCTTACTTGTGCTTCAGGCAGGTGAATGCTTCAGTAGTAACCTTCAGAGGTAGTTCTGTTCCAGGGAGAAACCCTGACCTTTTTATATGAAGTAAATTTAATAAAAGCAGATATTCTTATTTCTTTTCAAAAATTAAAATAATTCTATTATATTGAAAACCTTTCACTCTGTTTGAGCTGACTGCTTTGATACATGTTCTAAAATACTCCAGTGTTATCAAATATGAAATTCAGTACCCTGGAAACCCCTGTAAATTACTAAAAAAGGACAACTGAGGGGCACTCATCCAGGACTAATTTAAACACTTTGTCTCCCCTGTAGAAGTCTGCAGGCACATGGGAACATAAAGCATTGCTAAATGGAAACATTTTATGGCATTTCTGCAGGAGTGATTGGTGCAGCATTTCTTGCTCCTAAGGTGGTTCATGTTTTTATTACTATGCTATTCTAAGGAGCTCATGAATAAAAGTCCAGAGGAGGCCACAAAGATGATCCAAGGGCTGGAGCAGCTCTGCTCTGGAGACAGGCTGGGAGAGTTGGGGTGTTTAGTCTGGAGAAGAGAAGGCTCCAGGGAGACCTTAGAGCACCTTCCAGTGCCTGGAGGGGCTCCAGGAAAAATGGGGAGAGGCTTGGGACAAGGGCAGGGAGGGATGGGACAAAGGGTAATGGATCAAAACTGGAAAAGGGGAGATTTAGGTTGGACATTAGGAAGAAATTAATCCCTGTGAGGGTGGTGAGACCCTGGCCCTGGTTGCCCAGAGAAGCTGTGGCTGCCCCATCCCTGGAAGTGTTGAAGGGCAGGTTGGATGGGGCTTGAAGCAACCTGGGCTGGTGGGAGGTGTCCCATGCAGGGGGGTGGGACGGGGTGATTTTTAACATCCCTTCCAACCCAAACCATTCCATGATCCTACTCAGGCTGGAGAGACCAAGGCCAGTATTAACACAGATGAAGTTTCCTGGTCAAAGGGCAATGGCAGAGCTGTGAAACCTACACCCAGGGAAGGCAGAAAACTTTTAAATACACATTAAAATTGTGTTTCTAATTCAGAACATTCTTCAAATAGTTTTTAGACTTGGCTTAAAATGTTTATTTCTACATCAAGTCAATTGTCTTTCACTCTACTGCACCAATATTTTAGCTACTATTTCTTCAAAGTTAATTTTATAGAAAAGCTTAAAATTAAAATGCTTTAATATTAAATTTTGACTTTAAATGCCACAGTAAGTAACAATTTTAATAAATCAGCAGCCAAAAAAAATGAGCTTAGCTGATTAGTTTCAGTAAAGCAACCTTTCTGAAGCACTGGGTGTACACACTTATGTGATTTTTGATAAACGTAATTTCAATAAAACTCTGCGTTCAGACACTGCCTCATAAACATTCCATAAGAAATAATAAACTACTGCATTTACTATGAAACCTTTAGCAAAACTTTGGAAGACTGGTGAGGTTTTTTGCCCTGTACCACAACTTCTGCAGCCGTTTCCAGATGAACCAGCCTCCTGCCAGCCCAGAGGCAGTTCCTGTGCAGGGGGGAGGAGCAGGAGCAGCCTCGGCGCCCCAGGGGCTGCAGCTCTGCCCCCCGCCAGGGGCTCTGCCTGGGCTCAGCACAACACTCTGTGCCACACTTGTTACTGCTGTTCATGCAGAGCTACATCTCTCTGCCCTGATGAACGCTTTTGGAGGAGAAAAGCACGGAGTCATTTCAAAGAGTCATTCATCTCCACAACGAGTAAGCACTTCTCTGTAACCCGCTCTGTTTGGCACAGGGTGCCAGCTCTGGGTAACACGAAGCCAAACTTCTAATGACTTCTGACTCATAATAGCCCGGAGGTGTGATTATTTCCTTCCTGCATTCCTCAATGAACTGTGCCATTTTCTTGTATTTTATTCTCCAACGTTCATTAGCATAAGAAAAGAACCCTCCCCAATGCCACAGAGCAGTACACAGGTTATAAGAAAAGTAATTTTTCTCCTGATCAGTTCAGCTGAAAACTCAGTAATTCAAGAACGTGTGTTTCTTCTGCTATGAGCTGAATTCAGGCAGGAATTTTAAGGAAAGGCGTAGATACCAGCAGCTTGAGGATACAGACATGTGACAGCAAAGTATCATCCATCACAAGGTAAGTTTGAAGCCATGTTTCCCACAGAATGCTTAACACCAAGTTCAATATTCTAATGCCAATAGGACTTTAACCCTATTTTTAATTATGTTTCTGGTCCACACAACTTGGTGGCTCACTCTATGTAAAAAAAGCAACCCTGTGATTTGAGAGCAATTATAACCAGACTACAGACAGGGCTTTTTTTGTTGTTGTTGTTTATGCTCCTCTGTGACCAAGGAGTTCCTTTATGAAATCAACTATTTCTTCAACAGGTCATTACAGGCCACATTCTGCAACCAAGACTTGGCAAGGATTGAAATGTTAACAGGCTGAAGTCCTGAATTACATCAAACAGATGAAGAGCATCTACAACTAGATGTGCAGTTCAAGACCCTCTAAAAGAATATCTTTGAGGCTGTCAAGTGCTTCATGTGCTCCTCAGACTTCCCTCTCAAACAAACCAAACCTGACTATAAATAATTTTGCAAAGTGGGAATGTAGAAGGTGGTATTACCCAGCTACAATTAAAAAGATCACAAAGGGAGCTGATTTTCATGAGCCTACCCTGTAATGACGACAACAGTTTATCACTGACAAAGGTCTAGACTTTGATGGATATGAATGAACTCAAGCTACCAAATCAATTGCATCCAGGACACAACCATGAGACAACCTTGGTAGATAGACTGGGGGAACTGGCAAACAGGAAGAAAAAAAACCCAAAACCAAACCTATCTCAATTTATTCTAATTTAGCAAGTTGGGAGATCAAAGCAAATTAGTTCCAGTTGATACTATAGGTATTCTCATTTAGTTTCTTTTACCTCTCTCTGTCTTTAACTGCTTGTTCAGCCAATAATCTTCTTAATTCCTCCAGACGTCGCAGATCTTCCTCTTCCTGTTCTTGCCACTTGAGCTGCTTCTCAGCCCAGTACTGCTTCACCTGGAGTTTGAACACAGTATAAACACAGTGACAATCACTCACAAGCCAAGGCAGCATGAACAAATAATGAGAAGCATTAAGTGAAAGAAAATCCAATGTTCATCTTTTTATACTAAAATTTATGTATTAGAACAGTATCCTAAGAATTTTAATAATCTAATAAAAAGTTAATTACAAAAAATAATTATAAAAGTAATTGAAATTATACCTCAATAATCTGTTGAACTTGCCACTAAATGCATAAAGTTCCTCTGAAGGTCTGAGACCTCATCCTACCTCCCAAACACAGGCAATCACTTACAATGAAATTTACTTACAGAATCATCTCACAAAAGAAAACCTTCATAAAATAGTAACAAAAATAATTTCTGTATCAGCCTCTTTTGAAGGTTTCAGTTGAAGTGGCAGTCAAAATACCATTCACTTGTATGTGATTGTTTTTGTGCAGAAAAACCTGTAACTATTCAGAATAAAACAGGTCTTCCAAATGGTGCTTCTGCTTCAGAATTCCCGACCTCTCACCCAATCATTTCTTTAGCAGCCCATCTTTACACATGAAGGACATGAAAACAAAGATGGCACTTAACCCCACTGCCTAGAATGCTTCTATATTTTTTTTAATACTTACACTCGTGAAGCCTCTCTTTTGCAATTCTTCCCTGTCTGTAATTCCACATTCCCTGAAAGGTTTCTCCTAGGCTCTAGTTAGGGCACAGTGGAAATCCCATGTTTAAATATATAGGAAAAAAATTCTGGGGGTTCTGCAGTCCCAGAGAGCAAGAGCAGCATTGGTGTTCAGGATTTCATGCACCTGGCACAGCCTGCCCAGGTTCCACAGGAGCAGTGTGCGGACATTTCTCCTCTGTTCATGGACACTGTAGATGGGCATGTTCCCCTCCTGCTGCCCCTGCACCCAGAGGAGCAGCAGCTGCAGAAGTCTGGCAGCCTTTCCCAAGGACCTCGGAGGTCACCTATTCAAATGAAACCAAGGCTGCTGACCCCAAGCAGCTGCTGTTCCAGCCGTGCACAGGCAGGGGGCTGCTCTGGAGGGACGCGGCACACAGACCAGAGAGAGGGGGAAGTCTGCAGGGCCAGAACACTGACTGATCAGGGAACACTGCTGGGGACTGGGGCAGCACAGCCTCACCAGTCCCTCCTGCCAGGGCAAACCCAGCAGGAGGAAAGACAAACATGCAGAACAAGCTGGAACAAAAAGCAAAGCAGCAGCAAAGTGTCTTATAACCTCGGCAGCAAGACACCATGAAACACAGGCTGCCCCTCCCTGTACCTGTTCCAGTGCTGGTGCAGAAACCAGTCTCACCATGACATGCTCTACTCATTATCCACACCAGCCAAAACTTCATCATGGCATCTCACCCTGGACACTCTCATGGAGAAGATGAATGCAGACAACAAATGTAGAAGTTCTGCCTTCATTTGTTATCTTGTAACTTTAAATCCAGCATGTTAGAACAGCAACAACACATCAACCAAGACCAAATGCCAGGAAACATATGTCAGCATGTAAAAAAAAACCCCAACAAATACACAATGAAGTTTTGTAGCAGATTGCATGTGCACATAATCTGGAAAAATTCCTGTCTTTTTATAGAAGTTTATCTCTAAAATTTCACCACCAATATCTACAATAACCCTATTAAAGATAAAACTAATAGTGGTTTAAACTGAGATTCTCTGAAAGTGCATGTTTTGCAACCACATAAACGTGGCTTTCTCAGCTTTGGACACTGAAATGACAGTCTCAAACATTAGACATAATTTGGTCTTTTTTATCCTCAAAGTTGAAATAAGGATAAAACCACGAGTTACCTGGTCAGACCTCATAGCTGAGCAGGGCTCTGGACTAGACACCTCCTGAGGTCCCTTCCAATGTGAACTTTTCTGATTTCTATGAAAAGAGCATTTTGTGCATCTTGAAGGAAAGATAAACCTCTCTTGAAACTGACTTTTAGACAATGAGTTGCCATGTTGGTAACTGTATTATCTAGCATAGTTTAACACAAAGATTGTGCTCTGTCAAGAACATACATTGCTTCCTTATGACAAACTGCAGAAAAAGATTAAAATCAAGTGACCAATGTAACTAGCAACTTCTTCAGCTGGAGAAGAAATTGGATACATGCAGTGTACAAGCACAGTCAGGACCAAGAAGACTGAACTCACAAATACAATGAAACCAATTTGAAATTAGGCAGCTTTTCAAATGTTGGCTCTGGGGACTTGCAGCAATGACAAATAATGAGGAGATAACGGCCTCCAGCTGCAGACAAGAAGGCTTCAGCAGCTTCAGCTTCTTTTCTCCAGGTGGCACTTTCAGTCAAGTGCTTCTTGGCAGAACTGTTGATAGAACCAAACTCAATGGCTTTGCAAACTACCACTAGGAACACAATAAACCACAAGAGCTTGTGCACTTGACCTGCTTCACATGGCATGAAGATGGATTTCTTTGGGCAAAGCAAGGAAAATATATTTGAGTGCTATAAAAATAGACAGAAAAATTCCAAGTAGTGTAGGACTTCATTTTCATTCTTCTGCTCTGGAAGTTTCACCCACCCACAAGTGATTTCTTTTGCTCTGCTGTAATTTCTTTTCTGCTTTTAATAAGTGTTGTAAATTATTCTAGTAACAGCTTAATCAAATTGCTCTAAGTATGGATAGTTTTGTGATTGTTTTTGCATTATTTTTTTTCCCCCTGCAAGGAATCTCACTGCAATAGACACCTCTACAGACATGAGAATCCCTCAGATTCTAGGCAGTCTAACTGGCTAGTCAGTAGTGTTTGCTCCCAGTTAGATATGGGACACACAGAAACGTGGCAGATAAAGGCAAGAGGGCAAAATCAAACAGCAAACATGGAATCACAGAATGTCTTGGGTTGGAAGGGACCTGTGAAGGTTATAAAATCCAACCCCTCTACAATAAGCAGGAACATCTCCAACTAGAATCATGGCAACGTAGATAAAGATTTTGTTTTCTTCCTCTTTTTGCACAAGTCTTCTGTAGTGTGACAAATACTGACGTCACTAAAGCCTTCAGATGCATCCTGAAAACATTGGTTTAGCTTTGTATTAACTCTGCTTCTACCTGGCATATTAGAAGAGCCCAGCTTCTAGTGCCCTTTCTTGCAAACATTTGGCACAAGTAACTGAGACTATCAGCATTTGGAAGACAAAGCAATAAGAATCTGTGACATTCTCTGCCTTATTTTTTCCATAAATAATTATGGAGTCTTAACAAATACACCACAGGTGAGTTGGACTCCATGCCAGAATTCAGTGTAAAACATAACAAGAAAAAGAGGTAAAGTTTTAATAAAACAAACTCCTGGATTTTTGCCATATTATTTCACTAAAAACATCAGCACAAGTACCTAGGTGAGACAGCTTGATTTTCTACAAGCATTACATTCACTGTAATAATTGCTGATCTATGAAATGCAGACTCAAGCAGCAGAGGATGCACCCATTTCCCAAGAAGTCAGCAAACAGACTGGCCCCCTGCAATGGTTCAGAGCACCCCCTGTGCCTCACTGATGCATCCTGTGCTGCACAGTGCAGAGGCTGCCCTGCAGACAGTGTGCTGGAGGGATCTTTGCTGCATTGCAGCACACTGGACTGCAGCACTGGAAGCTTTCAGAATCTTTGCCATGCTGCTCAAAAGCACAAATCTGTAAGAGTCAGAAACCCAGCAGTGCCCCTGTGCCAGTGACACAGAGATGGCAGCATAGGCTTCCCTGGGTAGGGTCATGTTTGGCTTTTGGGAAACATAATGAAGTAACACAACTGGTGTGTAAGACTAGGCAGCTTTAAAGTGAAAAAGGACAGCAGCAAGACAACTAACCATTTGCTCATCTGTCCTAATAATCAATACTTTACAAGAATACCCAGTAGCGAGAGTAGTTAAAGATTTAAAATGTAATTGTATACATTAACATACACAAAAAGTATAAAAGTTTCTCATACTTTCTCTTTCTCCTGAGCTCTACGAATCGCTTCCTGCTCTTTCTGTAGCCTCTCTTTCTCATCCTTCTCTTCTTTTCTTCTGGCAGCTGCAGCAGCTTCCAGTTCAGCAGCCTCTTTCTGCTGTGCTTTCCACTGCGCAACCTGTAAGAGATGGTTGAAAAGACAGTCCTGCAGCAGCCACGTGTAATATTGTGATCCTGCCAGACTGTGAAGGAAACCCATGTAAACCACTGACAAACTAAGATTTAGAACCTTGTCAGCAACACACAACCACTCTGACAGCACCACCTTTCTGCATGTTCACGTGCAATTCCCAACTGACTGGCAAAATACGCAATAAACTCTCATATGAAAAGATTTTAGGCAAAATTGCCAAATCCAGTAACATCAGATCTAAAATTCCCCTCCAGCACTTAGACTTCAAAGAACATAGTTTCTTCACTAGCCCATGAAGCAATGGAGAACCACCGTAGCAGACCAGAGTGCACTCGCTCCCTCAACTCAGGCACTTCTGTACCAGCAGGTCCCCTGCCCCAGAGGCTTCACCTTGTGTCACCTTTCAGACTGTGCAGAATGAGTCCAGGGTCCCTGCCACCAGTGCCTGCTGTGGGTCTGTGTGTCTGACACCCAGGGCCAGGACAAACAGTCCCTGTCCTTATTGTCTCTGGTTTAAAAACTAGGAGCTAGACTGTCTGAACTGATGACAAAGGATACAGAGGATCTCCTCCCATGGAAGTCCAGCCTGCAGCTGTATCTGCCTCACAAACTACACCATGAGTTTCCAACACCCTGTGATGCTGTGGGAACCTAGTCCTGGCTGAGAGCCTCTGGGCTGTAGAACCAAGAACAGCAAAGGGCAGGCAGTGAAATGCAGCATAATGCTTTTAATACTTTGCTGGTTAAAACTGACTACCTGATGCTGAATTTCCAGCATTCCCACAACTTAAGCTTTTCAAGAAAACCCACTGTGTTCACCAGGTTTTCCCCCAGAGGTCGTACCACACAGATCTGAAGAACAAAAAAAACACAACCCTAAACAATAAATCTGATTCACTAATTTGGGACCACAGAACGCATCCAAAAAGTTAATGTGTTCTTGATTGCATTCTTTCATTCCTACAAGTGTAAAATCAGACACGTAGAGCTTACTATGTCAAGAGTTAGTGTTCTGTTTAAATATTTAAAAAATCCTAGTAGTCAAACTAATATTGAAAATACACTGAAAACTGGTTCCCCTACCACCCCTCACACAAAGCAGCTTAGATCGCAGCAGTACAAGCACTGCCAACATCAAGTTGTGAAAGTTTTTAATTACAAGTGGCATTTCAAGTATATTTCAGAGTTCATGTATTATTAGAGGAGCTTTTGCCAAGTGAATTTTAAAATTCCCATGCTGAACAGAATGCATACATACCTATTTTCAGTTAATTATTTCAATATTGCATATTACAGTGCTGTAAAGTACACCAAAAACTAATTAAAGACATAAAGTAGTTCTTCCCCTCTAACATCTGAGTAGTAATAATGCATTTGCCATGTACTTAATGCTACAGATACATCTCTCTTTTAATGACAAAAGACTTTCAAGAACTTTCCTTGGGAATTCCCATTAAATTAGCACACATTAACATAGCATCACATAAGGTTTTCTCTTTAAGGAACACTGACTTATACTATTAACAGGTCTGGAAGATTCCTAGGGTGGCACCAGAGAGTTGGCATCAAGCTCCTTCAAGCAGCTAAACCACACAGCCAGGGAAATAGGAACACAGGACAACTGAGTGGTGTAGAGGGTCTGCAGGGTAAAGGTTATCCAGGGAGTAAAACCAGCCTTTGAAAACTGAGGCAGAAATACACCACAAACCAGGAGGACGCAGAATGAGTGGGAGGAATGGTGTCACAAAATGACTACACAGAGCTCCAGATTTGTGTTCTCCCAGGCTACACAGATACAAAAAGCTGCTAGAATCCAAATTCTAAGCAAAAATTACCAATAACCATGTGATAAAGTCAGTACTGTTTGTCATAACTAAAGGTATAAAAATAAAATCTTTTGATATCCACCTGATTCTTTCTAGTTCACTCTTTTAACCATATAAAATTATCAAAACCCAGTACACTTTCAGAATCTCTCAGAGCTTTATTAACCTCTGAAATATTTCTGCACACCTCTCCTTACTTTTATTATGGTTTTCAGGTTTCTTCTCTTCAAACTGTACAATACTGACTCTAAGAATGCCATGGAAAAAAATTCAGAGGCTCTCTTTAAGAACAGTAACTTCATTTCTGAAGATGCTGCATAGTGAAGTAGCACTACAAGGTCTGGCTGGGTGAGTGGAGGAGGTGTGCAGCAGGATGATGCCACCCCAGCACTGGTGGAAGAACCAGCTCTTCCGTGGTGCCATCACCAAGCACCCCAGGGCAACATCAGCTGCAGCACCAGGGTTGCATGGTCAGAAACATTGAAGTGTGATAACAAGATGAGTAAAGATTCAAATACTCTTTAAAGGAATTCAACAGGGAAAAAAACCTAAGCATAAAACAAGGAATCAGAGAATGCATGTTTCATAGCGGGGGAAGCACAGAGCACCTGAGCTTAGTGTTACCTTCTGCAGCAAGAAGTGGTGTAAGCTGCAGTAAAGCTCCTGTTGTGCAGAAAAGCTCTCTGTGAGGCTCCTGAAGGTACCCCTGAACACAGAGAACAAATTCATCTACTTTTCAGCTTGTCCAGGCAGAGCCTAAGTAACCAAGTACCACGAAATAGGCTCTGGAAAGGATGAGCATCGAATTGCATGGAAACCCACATCCACAACATTCCCATAGGATTATTCAGGCTAGAGTCCTCTCTCCAGGTCATCCAAGGTTTCCCTTCAGCTACTTATACTGCACTCACATGCAGCTCAGGAGACAGAGGAGTCCTGGGACCAACAGAGTTCAAAAGCACAGCAAGAAGCATCCATGGTTCAGATAATCAGTGTCCTACCTCTGTGCCAGGACTGGCTCCTCTCCCTTCCCACCGTCCCTGCAGCAGCATCATCTTTTCTGCCCTGCTTCTCACTACATATGGAACTGGGAGTTAGCCCATTTATGGTAGGGCAGTGATACCTCTCCCTTTTCCCAGATGGAAGCCACAAGGCACAGCGGGGGAAAAAACGCCTCTTTGTTGCAAGTTTGGATTCAAACCACATCAACCATGATGTTTTTCCTTTATGTTCTAAGGTAAGGACTGCAGCCTCAGAACAAGCTGGTGGCACAGGGAGTTCTGTCTACAGACAAGGCTATTTGAGAACCACAATTTTCTAGTGTGCACTGAAAAACAGAACTAAGCAAAAAAGATGTAGCAGGTGATTAGGTGATAAAAAGTTAGAGGCTAAAGGAATTACAGGATTGCAACATCAGGTCTTCAGTAAGGATATTCTTCTCAGTTCAGTACCTAGCGGACACATCATCCCATCAGTAAGGATGATTTACTAAATTGGGCAAACTTATTTCACCACACTAGAGAAGTTAATTACTTTTTATCTACTACAGAACTGGCCGAAGTCAAACTAAGACCACTAGATTAACATGGAAAAGTCATTAAAAGGTGACTTTCATTACCAGCAGTGTGGCCTCTTCCCTTGCAATACAGCTTAGTCATTAATACTTCAGATAGAAGCAGTGCATGCTGATCTATGTGTCTTGCCTGAGCAACTCCCTTCCGTTCTAAGGTGGAGAAAAAGGAAAGATTTTTAAGAAAAGGGGAATGAAAGGTAGAGGAAAACAAAAAATTAAAAACCTAGTCTCTTTTTTATTGCAGTAATAAAAAAAATACACAGCTTGTCACATTTGAGTATTTTTTCTCCTTTGCATTGCTCTATCTGTACCACGACTAGGAGCAAACTGATTTGCACACACAAAGAAAGAAGCAGTCTTTTGAAAAACCCCACAAACTCAAAGCAGCATAGAAATGTACAGAAATATATCCCATTTAAACCAAATAAGTAACACAGGCTAAACAGTTTACTGATTGGAAGTTAAATGAAAGGTGTCATATCCTGAGTCTAGTCTTCTCCTATCTTTAGCAGCTGCTTAAACAATCTATTTTGATTTTAATGTATTTTTCCATATTCTGTCTGTAAAACGGATCTAATGATCCTTGACATTTCTAGAAGTGCTTACATATATAGATCTTACAATGTGTATTGTAATAACTTCATTTTACAGCCGATGTAAATTGGCTATAAATGCTGAGGCTTTCTCTGAAGCCTGCTGAAGATCTACATCTCTCACATTCAGGATACAAACTCTTCACAAACATACCTAGGGTTTACTATACAGGTGGATCATTATAGCAACTACATTTTCCCTCTGGAAAAGGGATACATGAAATATTTCCTTATGCTTAACTTAGTGAAATTTAAAAAATTAAGTCAATTAATGCTAAAAAAAAATAATTCTGGGAGAACAGCCCTGACATCCCTGATTTCCAGCTCTACACTCATTGATTTAGAGACAGATTCACTTTTACCCTCATCTTACAGATCCCTGCCAGGATGGGTTTTATCAGTGTAAATGAATGGAGAGTTACTTTTCACCTGACAGCTGCCAACAGCCACCTTCCTCACAATGACATTCTGCAGTTGTCCAGTTGTAGTGTAGAAAGGCAAGTGTGTAAAATTAATTCTAACTGGGAAAAGTATAAGTTTTCAAATGCATATACCCACTGAATCCAGACAAAAGCCAGGGATACATCCAGAAGAGCTTCTTTGAAAGCCAGCTATCTCCTTGCCCAATTTCAGCTTCCGTCCTCTAGCCCCTTCAGCTGTAGACCCATCAAAACAAGGTCACAATCATATCCTCCCTTCAATGAAAAAAAAAAAGTACCTTCTTCATTCCTCTTTTCTGGGAAACAGGTGAATAGGTTTTGATCAGACTCTGAACATTTTAACAGAGCTACCTTTGAAAGCAACCCTTGGAATGTGCAGGACTAATAGGTTTAAATTTCAAACAGTTGCAGGTTACTGGAAACAGGAGGTCAGAATCCAAAAACTTTCAGACAAAATTCAAGGTGTCAGTGAGAATCTTAAGTGATGTGGAGACAACGTAAGTTCTCCAACACTTGCTTGTTGCTTTTTGTAGTGGGGGGGAGGAAATAAAAAAATAATAATATATAGGCTGACATATAAATTCACATTTCTGAAATCAATGATCCTTCCACTTCTGACTGGTCAGGTAAGAGACACACTGCAAGCCCAGAAAGGGAGGCCTAAGGAAAACAACAACACCAGCCCTGGGCTCTGGAGAACAGCTCCTTACTCCACTTGGCTCCAGGGAAATCTGCCACAGGAGTTGCAGTGGGACACTCCCCACTCAGCCAACCCAGACAGCTCCTAACCCTTCAGTGTTTAGATTCAAACCTTCCTACAACCGACGGCCCCAGAACAGGACACAGCAGGTTTTTCATATGACAAGCATCAACATAAAAAAAACTTAATCACAGTGCAGGTTCACTGTGTTTTACTGCTTGTAGAAAAGCAAAATCAAGTGTCTAGTATTTCACTGAAAGGTAAGGGTTCAAAAGAGACAATTGGTAAAATAAGAACAATACATTATGAATGCTTTCAGGTGTTAATTTCTGTGCCAGTGGAAAACCCCAGAGAGCAGTTTAAACAGATCTTAACATGCCTTTCATGCCCAGAAATCTGATTCCCCTTACAAATGCCTCAGGCATCAATACCTAACACTTTCCTCTTGTGTCCAGACTCTTCCCATTTTATTCTATTCTCTTACAAAAAAGAAAAAAAACCCAATAAAACACCAACACCCCCAAAAAAACCCCAACAAATAAGCAACCAAAAAACCCAACCAAAACTACAAACAGATATTTTTCTCTTTTTTCACCTCTTAACACAGTAAATAACTTTTCAGAATATTGCTAAACCTCCGAAACAAGAGCAAGCAAGTTAAGGGATAAATTTTTTTCAGGTGTTAAAGCATTTTTAAAAATAACAGAAGGACAGACAGATATCCATTATTTCTCTGAAAATAAACTGGTAGTAATCTAAAAAAGTGGTGGTAGTGATGATGAGTGGAAAGCGTTTCACTTCCTCTTTGAGCATCCAGCATTCTGAAGCAAGCCTCACACATATAGATATCAATCCCACTTTGCTGAAGAAGAAACAGAAACACAAATAAGTTGTGATCTTTCAAGGTTACCAAGGAACCCAAGGAATATGAGGCCAGACCTTTACTCCTGAAGCTTGAACAAGAACAAATCTTGTTCTTCCAGTACCATAATGCAGTGCAAACTCTTTGATGGTACTCAAGATCCATCAAAATCAAGGTGATTGCAGTTTATACAGAGATCAGACCTGCAGTGTGACACTCACAGCAAGGTCTTGTCACAGTGTAATGCTGGGCTGGCCACCGAGGCTTGTCAGGTAATCAAGTTCTTAATCAAAAAAAGACACTAAGTTCATGAGTTGGTTGAAACATCAACCAGGATTCTTACTGGTAATGAAACAATCTTCACAACCATTTGCAAGTCAACGTGTTGATCTCAGAGGGAAAACAAGCAAACTACACCTAACTACCCAAACCAATTCAGCTGGGCCAGTAAAAACAGGCTTGGGAGAGCCAGCTTCAGTAAGTTTTCCTTCACTTAAACACCGTGAGTTCATTTTGAATTTACCAGTGCAACCCAGATTTGCATGCAGTAGCTTTAGCTGAGCCTACCTTTGCTTTTAGGTGGGCACAGATGTCCTGCTGCCTTTGCCTGGTGTCAGCCAGCTCCAGCTGTGCCTCGTGAGCAGCGGAGGCTTCAGCAACAGCCGCCGCCGCCTGCAGCACAAAGGCCTTCCTGGCCTGAGCCCAGCCACACAGCAGGGCCCTGCTCTGAGCCCGGAAGAGACAGCAACGGTGCCAAGCTTTCTCATGGGCAACCTGCAAAAGTAAAGCCTTTCAGAAACGTTTTTAATCTATGCACAGATAAAAGAATTCTTTGCAAGCCTTGGACATAGCTGGTTTGATTCCTGCACCACCAGCCCTGCTCAGGAAGCCACAAGAGCTGTGCCAGGTGGGCTGCAGGGCCCAGCAGGGACAGGTCATGCCAGCCCTCCAGGCTCTCCCTGTTTGCCTGCACCTTGGGGCACTGCAGGATCCTGATGCCTTTTTTCTGAACTAGGCTTTTGGAATATGAATCACTCGATCCTGCCCTAAAGTACATAAAATGCAACTAGGTCCTTTCAATGCATCTTCAGAGATACCAAGCAATTCCAGCAAGATGAGGCTTTCTATAGGAAATTATGATCTGTAGAGAAGCAGAACAGTAATTGCAGCAATTGTACCAATGCAGTACAGATGGGAATTGGCTTCACTTTTTCATTCATAACAGGAAACATGGAAATAGATCTGTAGCTGGCCAAGCCACACACTGCCACCACCAGCACCCCATCCAACAAAAATGGTGATTCTGTAACCTGAAACACACTTCTTTGGTTCCTAAGGTTCCTGAGGACATTGCAGCTTCACGACTTTGCCAGAAGTAGGAACGGGTAAGGCTGCATAGACTGAAGCAGGGGAGTCTTGGACCTGTCTCATATCCCCAAAAATACAAGTCACAGGAATGAAGGAGATTCTAGAGATGTCTACTCATAGTGCCAAGAAAACCATTCCTGGGGCTAATTTCCAGACTTTTGACAGGGGACAGGGGGATGTTGGCTCCTCTGATGCCCAGCCCAGAGATATTCCTGTCAGCTCACAGCTGGATGAAAACTACCTCTGGAGCTTTGCTGTGGTCACATGCACATAGGTCACCACATCAGGAGGTCACACTGCTATTGCTGCTGCCACAAACCCAGGTGAGTCTTGCCAGCGAGTGCACAAGGCTGACAAACTCATAGGCAAGAAGCAGGATGGAGAGTCTGCCCTTCTGAAAAGAGAGCTCTCTGGTGAGCTGCTGCTGGATCCAGCACTCACTGATCCTGGGCATAGAAGGCTCTAAGCCTAGTATTCTAACGTAACACAAATGTTTTAAGGATAGGTTCTTAGTAATATTTTAACTCTTCTGTATTAGTTATGCTAATATAAAATTATTATTTCTAAATTTAGAATTTTGAAATAAGCCTTCAAAGAATTAGGGAGACCCATTAATAATGGAAATTATTAAAATCTACCTACATTGTACAAAGCACGTAATTATTTAGCCCAGTTCTCACAGGCAAAAGTTCTGAAATGCACAAGAACTTCCTTTTTGGTGGAACTATGCTCACTATCAGTGTCACTTCACTGTTATTCCTCTGCATCAGGCAGTCCTTAAAGACCAGGAAATAGATGGTCTAAAAATACATGCAGAGGCAAAAAGGACTGCTACTTTACTACTGCCATCCTGAAGTGTTCTGGCCTTGAAGTGGGTTCCTCTGTTAGCTGCTATGTGCTTATTCACTGTGGAGTGTAAAAGGAATCAGCAATCAATTTGAAAGGCATTATGCATATAAAAATAGCCTCTCCCTGAGAGCAGAAGATAACTTTCCACTCTTCCTATTATATTTGTGTCACAAACCAATTAAAATAACTATTCCTAGACAGTGTGACAACGTTGTACATCCTCATAAAAGATAAAAATAGCAAGAGAGGCAGAATAGCATGACATAACCATCAAAACAGCACAGCGAAAGCAATGCTAACAAACCCATTTTGTGAATTTGGCTGTAAGATTAGGTTTATTTTTAAGAAGTGACAGGTCTTCAAGCTCATGCATTTTTTAAGACAGGGACATCCCATCTTCACTGTGAAGAATAAAAATTATAACTAAGAAATTTTAAGACAAAAAATTTGGAGAAACATTATTTAATACAAATGTTCACTACACCATTTATGTAAGAATTTTTATAATTGGTCTAATAAAGCAACACTGACCAGCTCTTGCCTAGATTTGTGAGGAAGGTATCTCTGCAGGGCATCGAGGTACAAGGTTCTCCTCCTCTGAAGATCTCTTGAATATTGATGGATAACAGTCTGAAAAACCCACCGATCTTCTTCTGTCCACTCAGCATCCCTATAGACATGCAAAAGAATCAGCCCCAGTCAAACTTAACATTTGAAAAGGAGTTCAGTTCTAGTCTATTTATAAAGGCCTGACCTTCCAGAGGGATCGTGATCCTGAACCTGTAAATTGGGTGTTAAATTTAAAGATTTAGATTTACTTTAATGAAAGAAAGCAAACCTCTATTGCTTTCCTAATGTGACATTTACTGTGCCATCATTCGAGTGAATTGTTCCTTTCCTGTCGTGTTTTGTTGTTTTTTTTTTTACTGGGGAATGGTACTCAGTTTCTCAAAAATGTTACATTAATGAACAGCCAGGCCACATGGAAAATAGAATGTGAAAAAGGAAGATGATCCATCTCTACTACAGAGCACTAAATAAATGATCAAAATGAACTGAAAGAAGTGATAAATACCACTATGTAGCTAAATAAATAGTTTAAAAACAAACTTCCAACAGCCATAAACCCATCAGCAAGGCATAAGATCCACGATTTCTTAAAACAGCAGGTGATGCAATCACTATGCATTCATGTGTTTCAGAAAATCCGAGCAGCAAGAGGCAGCATAAAGCTGAAAGGGAGTACCACAGGTTTGGACTGAGCAGATTAGATTTTACCCTCAAACTGAACTCTCTGCCTTGAGGGGATTAACGTCAGGCTTTTATTGTCAGCTTTCATGCACGAGCAGCAACAAGAGTCAGACCAAGAGGTTTCTCTATCCCAATGACTCGTTTTCCAAAGTGACTAAAAGCCTAGGAAAAATGAAAAGACGATCACAACCCTACCCCCCAAATTCCTGCAGCCTCAACGGTGTGCAGCTCTCAGATTTCCAGCCCTGGTGCCTTGGTATTTAACAGCACTGTGCTCAGGAAGATGTTAGAACAACTTTATCCTTAGGCAGAAATAGCAGGTATTTTAACAAGAGGATTTTTGTGAGATGCTCATATAATACACTAGACTTTATGATATGATCTTGCATTATCTCTAAAGAAAGAACAGTGAATAGTATTTTAAAAATGTCTATGTAACCCAATTTAGCACCACTTTCATTTAAATAAGTATACAGTAAAACCAGAATGAGGGGGCAGGAGCCACGGCTGCCTGTCCTGCCCTCCCGATGGATAAGGGGGCAGGAGCCACGGCTGGCTGGCCTGCCCCCCCGCT